AAACCACACATACCACAAACCACTAACCCTACATACCACAAACCCTACATACCACAAACCACACATACCACAAATACCACAAACCCCACATACCACTAACCACACATACCACAAACCCCAAATACCACTAACCACACATACCACAAACCCTACATACCACAAACCCACATACCACAAGCCACACATACCACAAACCACACATACCACAAACCCCACATACCACAAACCACTTACCCCACATACCACTAACCACACATTCCACAAACCCCACATACCACAAACCCTACATACCACAAACCCACATACCACAAGCCACACATACCACAAACCACACATACCACAAACCCCACATACCACAAACCCCACATACCACTAACGACACATACCACACACCCCACATACCACTAACCACACATACCACTAACCACACATACCACAAACCACACATACCACTAACCACACATACCACATACCACAAAACCCACATACCACTAACCACACATACAACAAACAACACATACCACAAACCCTACATACCACAAACCCCACATACCACTAACCACACATAACACACACCACACATACCACAAACCCCACATACCACAAACCACACATACCACAAACCACACATACCACAAACCCCATATACCACAAACCCCACATACCACTTACCACACATACCACAAACCACACATACCACTAACCACACATACCACAAACCCCACATACCACTAACCTTGAAACCGATAACAATTTACCACTAAATTTTCACCTCAATGGCTGTAACCTGGAACCAGTAGCAGAATACCACATACTATAACATAATTCTGACAGTTGGATAACTACATGTATTTATGTTTCAAACTACTAATTCCTGGAGTGGCAACGTCACCCCTTCATCATCCTCCGCTCCTGATACACACGTCTTCTCTGCAGTGAAGAATTAAATTAGAGTTGTCCCCCTTTGCATTGTTTCCCCTGCACAGTTGCACTTTGACACAGCTCCATGCATTTACGTCCTTTGTCAGGGAATATTTTTAAACGGTTTATTTTGTGCCATATGATATTTTTACACTGTAAATACAAGAGAATGATCACCTTAAGGATGTAATCTTCTGAGGTTTCAATCACGTTCAAGTCTCGTTTTGATCTGGTGTAACGGTTTTTTGCAATATTTAACAAATATGATTAAGTTTATTAGCAAACACGCATCTGAAAAATATGTCAAAATCTAGATGCCTGTTCTTTTTAGAACCTTTTTTACAAGAATTTAAAAAAAAATACCAATTCGACAGCCTTTTTGAAAATGTGTATTTCTTTCGCTAAAAAAAGGCAAAAAAAATCACCTTTTTTGACACTGGATTGATCACTTAAGTTGTCATTGTGTCGCCATTTTTAATTGTAGCAGGTTCAATTTTGCTGTACAACTTTATCATGTTTAATATGATAACAAAAATATGCAACAAACTGGAAAATTATACATTATTGATATTTTATTTACATATTTAGTGCAACTGAAGCACTTTTCATTTTTGACCCCGAAAAAAGGTAAAAAAATTACACAAATGATACACACACACACACACACACAAAATTGGTGAGTTTCTATACGAAGTGAACGACTGTGGCTGGGTAAACACGGTCCAAGATCGAAGGATCAAATGAGCACATGACCGATCATAGCACAAAAACGAACACACGGACATATATTTTTTTTGGCATTTTCTACTATGACATTAACTCCTCCAAAAAAACATATAAGAAAAAAGGTTTAATACAGGATTTTTTTGACTTCTCAGAGGTGTACATCCTTAAATCATACCACCTAATTTTCTAGGATTACAATGGGCAAATATAAACATTAATATACTTGTATTTCCATTGTGTCTTAAAGAAAACAATGAGGTATTTCAGTTCGATTATCACGACACATTACAAACGTACCGCCGCCCCCGCCCACCCCTCAACTAGTCCCTC